TGACATCCATAACTATGTTTTCAGTGGTGTATAAAGAACTTTACTTAATTAGCCGTAATGTTTTTATTACCTTAGAATGAGACATTAATAGCTCCATAACCGAGGGAATCCCCTTCTATGAAGGTCGCCATGTTGTGACGTCATATTCCTACCGTAGCCGAACGCGAACAAACAGCGCTACAGAACGCGTTTCATCACTACCTTGAAAGAGAAGTAGCGGAAAGCTGGAAGCTAGCCTCACACTCCGTGAGTAGTGACTTTTCCCTTGTGAGTGGTGTAAAATATGTAGTTGGGATTGTTTCATGTAACTTAGTTCTCCCTCGCTGTGTTATGGGTTTGTTATGTTGGGGATAGATGTGCTGTTACGTTCGTGAGACAGCTGATGATTAGTATTCATGTCATTGACCGTAACAGGAATTACTAACCGTTACAGGAATCACTAACCCGTCGATAGAGACTTTTACTAAAGTCTTTTATCACTAAAGTCGATCGCGAAGAATTTTAAAAATCAGAGAAAAAAAAGCCTATTGTGTGTAGTAAATAGTATCTATGGGATGCGGAGATGACATGATTGTAACAGCGCGCGCAGTTCCGACCTTTGAACTCATGCGGACGCGTCCGAGCTCAGCCACAGCAACAGCTCATATTAGCCAGCTAAACTATTACTACCCTGTTAGAAAAAATATATAGCTGCTCTCTCGCTGTATTATGGGTTTGCTACAGTATGTGGGGAGAAATGCGCTGCTGGTTACGTTTGTGAGACAATCAGCTGATTATTATTTTATTAAATTATATATTAAAACCCTTGATCCTCACCTGACTATGGCTTTGTAAACAGACAGTATTCATGATGTGGTTTATAATGGACTGTGGTACAGAAACAGTGACAATGTTACACACTCTTGGCTTACTCTGGCTATTCTCTGCTGTCTCAGCCGTCGAGATGTTTGTCCCGTTTTAGCAACCGTAGCTTCTTCGAAAGGGAGGGGTGAGCAGTGGGCTGAGCCCTTAGTGCAAACCTGGTGCAAACTCGCAACCGAACCACTAGATGTCGCTAAAAGTCACACATTGCTCCTTTAATATTTCAGGATATACATATCTAAAGGCATGTTCTTACTAAGACAAAAATAAATAGGTGGTTGCTTAATAAGAATTATATTTTTGGGCCTCGCCCAAAGAGAATTTGAAGTTTCAACAAACCAGTAACTTATGAGGTGTTCAGCGTTATTAAACATTTGTAAATGGGTTTTGTAGACTCTGGAAAAACTGTCACTTTTAATTTAAATGTGTCACTGCCGAGAAATGAAAGTTCCAGACTTGTGATTTACATAAAGCACACCTTTGCTGATTGACTGATTTGTGTATTTATTTCATTGGCAGTATCCTGCCACCTCTCAGCAAACCTGTAATATATGACTTTATTAAGCCCCAAATTCAGTTGTGCTGCTGTGCAACCTGCTAAACCTGCTGAGAGCTAACAAATCTCTATTTAGTATAAAACTATTAACCTTTGCAGACTTCACCACAGGACATGCAGACTCTGCGAAATACGTAAGATTGTAATCTAACTCCCACATAATATGAGTGACATGAATTCACAATGAGCCTGTATTTCTGTAATAATAATTTCTGTATTTCTTGTTGTTGGAGGAAAAACTGCAGCTTATCAAAATTCCATATTCCGTAGTGAAATTATCATTGTTTTAAGAAGAGTCTCTAACCTCAAGGGAGGATGTTGCATATTGAGACTTCAGTTCTTTCCATCAGGTATTAGATAATTTATAACTATACTGTCTTATTCAGGGGGAATGCAATGGAAAAGAACAATGAAATACCACCCTTTTCATTCCAATTTAAAATATTCATCTGCAGAAATGCTTTTAAAATGTAATCTGTGTGTCTTCAACAATGTAAAAAAATGCTTTAATGGTCTTTTTATGAAGTGTCACAGCAAAATAATTTCTTGGAGAATTCCAGTGCAAGAGAATTATACTGCATGAATACAGAACTCCACCTAGTGGCTGTTTTAGACAACATTAATCTGAAACCACTGACTGAGACTGACTAGTTCAGGGGTGTCAAACTCAAATACACAGTGGGCCGAGATCAAAAAATTGCTATAGGTCAAGGGCCGGACAGGTTAAACACTTATTGAAACAACGTATTATTATTATGAACCTGAAAACAACAAGGTCTATATATTATTGCCAATAAAACAACATTAATTAGGAAATAAAATAAAATAAAATTAATAAATAAAATCAGTTTCACTAATTTCTTATGGTTATTTACAAAAGTTATTTACTTCAAAGGAAAATCAAATGTCCTATAGCAAGAGAAAGAAATGCAAAAATGAAAGTCCACCTTTTCAAAGTTCACCTTCCTTCAAATTTGGCTGATTATTTATGCTGAAAAATGGCCGAGTTTTGGTCTGTACTAATCTGTCACTGTCACATCGGGGAAAATACCTTTTGAGTTACAGACTACCAAACGTTAAAGAGAAGAGTGCAAAAACTGATGAAAGAAGGCGTTTGTGGTTGACAGAGGCACAGCATCAGCAATACGGCACTGACATTGACACTGATGGAGGGGTTTGCATTTGCAATAGTGATGTTTTCTTATTTAATTTTTACAACATGGATGTGTGTAGCCACCGCCGCGCTGGACTATATTAGGGACTTTAAGCAACAGCCTCTGGTGGAATTGCGTATTGAGCTGCAGAACGGTAGGAATCTGTTATGCAACGTTACGGCTTTTTCCGCGTTCTTGTCAGCGCCGGTTTCAATACATGTTTCAGAAATAATATTTTTCTGCTCGTCCGGCACTTTGCAACAACACAGCATTGTTTCGGCAGCGACTTGCAGCATGTCTCCTCTAAAACTGATGTTTAACGTTACATTTTATGTGGCGTGAAAGTCGCATTCCATCCGAAATCCGATCGTTCAGACTGAGGCATATGGTATTTGAATAGGATTTCAAACCACATATGGATGTAGCTGCTAGCTTGAAACGGATTTCATGTGCTTTTTGGACTGACAATCTGAGCGTAGCCTATGTCGGAACAAGAAAATAGAAGGAAGAATTGCAGTACGGGCTATAGAAGCTCACCATTACCACATATTAACTTTAGTTTGTCAAAATATTACGCTCTCTCCTGCTTGGTAAGTCCATCTCTATATGATTTCGTACCTACCAAGGGTTTTTTCTGTGTTTTTTAGTGTAACAATGTGTTCCGTAGTACATACATAGTGCAGTAAATGCTGTTGTTTACATCCGAGTGCCCCCATAATGGCCACTCATCCGGGTTACCGCCCAGAATGTCACGCTTTCGCGGTCATGTTTCCATGGTGACGCGTCATTGCTTGTCACGTGACACAGTGACGGCGGGCCAGCTCTAAAAATAAATACATTTTGTCATGCGGGCCAAAAATAATTCATTTGCGGGCCGGTTGTGGCCCGCGGGCCTTGAGTTTGACACATGTGGACTAGTTAGTTACCAAATTTGTTCCTGATAAATTCAGTTTTACTTTATTGATCTTGACATAAAAATTTAATTTTCTGTGTGACAGATGCCTCGGGCCACATTATGTCTGGCCTAACAAGTTAATTACGTGGTAGATAAACTAGGGGGCGCCATACTTTCAAACAAAACTTCACGTGATATAAAATAATTCTGTCATAATTTAGTCGCCCTCATGTTGTTCATGGTTATACATTACAATAATTACATATTAAAGATAAAAAGAAAGATGAATGTTAAACATGACTTATTAGTGTGTGTGTGTGTGTGTGTGTGTGTGGGGGGGGGGTTATATAGATATAAATAAGATAAAAATTCACATGAACTGAAGTATTGCACAGCAGTTAAGCACCTTTGATGAAGGTAGAAATGGCCTTCTGTGCCTCTGCAGCAGCGTCATTGTGATTAATTGTGCTGCTGAGTAACACCATGCATTCTCCCCACCTTGATATGGCTTAGATATGAAACACAATGTAGGCTATCGTCGATTGTGTGAATAGGCTGCGTTTCTCACAAGATCTGGCAACTCGACAACCTTGGAATAATTATATTTATATTAGGCTATGTTTTATTATTATTTTACATATAGGCTACGAAGTTTGGGTCATACAAATTAGGCTTCAGTAGCCTGGCTACAAGAGTTTTCCGGGAGAAATATCAAAAAAGGGAGTGGGGTGAGAGATGGGAGTAAAATACGGGAGATTTCCGGGGGAAACGGGAGTGTTGTTCCAAACCTGAGGTTCTTTCTTCTGTTGAAGTTGAACACAAAAGAATATATTTTAAAAAATATTAACTAGTCAGTTTTTTTATTTTTATTTTTTTCTATTATGGAGGTCAGTCAACATCAACAGTTTCCCAGATAGCACAAGTCTGTTTGATGTGATGTTTACATCTGGAAGTCGTATTTTTAAGAGTGTTTGCTGCTCATCTGCAATACGGCTGACGTTTCCTGTCAGATGTCAAATAGACGTTTAGAAGATGTCTTTAAGGTGTAATGATTTAGAATGCATGTTAAACTGACATCTTCTAAACGTCTATTTGACATCTGACAGGAAACGTCCAATAGACGTATTGCAGATGAGCAAACACTCTTAAAAATAAGTCTTCCAGATGTAAAAATCACATCAAGTAGATTTGTGCTATCTAGGTTGATTACCAACATTCTTCAAAATATCTTCTGTGTTCAACAGAAGAAACCCATACAGGGTTTGAACAGCGTGTGTGATGACGAAATGTTCATTTTGGGGTGATTTAAGGAATTTTAAGGATTAAGACCAAATTATATTACATTTAAATAGGCTACTTTAACAACAATAATGTAGCCTAAATCTTGGGAGTTTGGAAATTAAAAATTATGATTAATATGCGAGTGATGATGTGTTAGGATATTTATGCTAATATTATTCACATGCCAGATCAAATAACAACATGAATTGAGAGTTGTCTTTAATACTTCAGAAATAATTCTAGAAATTGTTGATGAAGTTGAAAGACTTTATTCGGGATTGATATAAAGTGTCATTACAAAGGCATGAGTCACAACATGATTGAATTCAATTTAGTATAAAATGTAGGCCTAGGTATAGGCTACATTACATATTAATTACTCTAAAACACCCAGGTCAAACACGTGTAATTTAAAAAAAAAAATTGGCATTTCTCGAAACAGACTATTCAGCATATTAAATAATGTTGCTAAGTAACATTGTCAGTTAAACATTATTTATCAACAGTTTATGCTTTTTAACAGTGTTAGACATATTCTTGTATTTAATAATACAAATAATAAAAAAAGTTAAATTCTTATTTTATCGAAAATAAAAATATACATAGACATAAAAAATACATGAGAATATTAAACAAACCTTCATTTTATGAAGGAATCAATATCATATGTACACAGAGTGAGCTGTGCATCCAATACTGTAAAATCAGTGCAATCATCGTTGTCAGTAAAATAGTGAGAATGACTTAATGAACAATTATTTGGTCGACTTCTCCCTTGGCTGTGCCTTTACTCGTCTTAAGTACTGTTTAGAAACTCGTATTGACTTCTTTGAGGTACTCCAACGTTTGCTCCCTGACAAAAACAAAACACATGGTTAAGACAAGAAATTTTTGAAAATAATCCTGTCCTATTGTCTTGATAATGACTTTCTCAAACCCAAAGTGATCAAACATACCGTTTTTACCACAAACGTCCATGCAGCTTTGTTTGGAGATGAAGTTATTGTTGCTTCCTCCGCATCCTGTGTATATGAACTCCTCGCATGTTTTTGTAGCAGAGTTGTAATAATACCTTGGTATGGAAGCTAAGCACTTTCCTTTGTCCAAAATATCATGGCAAATCACAGGGATCGCTGAAAAAAATTAAACACAACAGAAATGTTTAACTTTAGATATTTGCATTTTCTAGGGACCTCAAAAAGTGTTTTAGGTGGAGCCGGAGTACATTGATAAATAAGCCAAGCAAGAGACTGGAAAACATTTAGATACGAAGGCCATTAAACAAGCTTGTTGTGTTTATGATTCAAAAAGACAAGAACAAAAATGTCTTAATGTGTTTCAATGAAGGGTCCCAAAAAGTACATTGGCCCCTTAATGTTAATGTTCTGTTCTATGTTCTGCTCATCAGTTTTATTAATGCCATTGACATTTCCTCACCAAATAATTATCAAGGTCCAATGCTTTATTGCTGCTTTAATTCTGAAGATGGCAATGCACTTTCCGACCATCTTGCCATTAAATATTTTTTCTTTATTCTGCATCTTAATTATTTGATGATCTGCAAATGCTTCAATGAGACTTTTTTTAAATGCTACAGCTAGTGTTTCTACTTACTTTTAGGAGGTTTGCAATATTCCAGACATCCCTGAAGGTTTTCAAACATGTTTTCATTGCCTTGGCAACCACCATAAGTGAAGGATTCGCACTGCATGGAGGTCATATTGAAGAAGTAACGCTTGAAGAGGCCTCGGCAGGGCCCCTCTTTCTTTTGAAAACGACAGATCTGGGGGATTTCTGTGGTGTGCAAAACAAAACATGTTTAAGTGAGCATTTCACGTCATCTGAAAAAGAAGTGAGCACTTATGATCATTTTAAACCATAACTGCCCTCTGAACTCTCATTCAAAAATCCCATTTAAGATCCCTTACGAAAAATAAGTGTACTTAAAGCTGCAGTCTGTAATTTTTTTCTGTTAAAAAATGCCAAAATGTATAAAAGCGAGTACATCATGAATATATTTTCCAAACCATGTTTTTGGCTTATCCTGAATCACTACGGTACACCTATCTTAAAGCCACAGTAAGTTTTTCCTCTTTGTCGCCATCTCTGTTCGAAATCTGCAATTGCAGCAATTTGCGGAATTATCAACTTTACATGATTGAGTTGAGATCTCTGTTTTTCTGCAGCCACTCCGAAGTCTGAAGTCTTTTGCATTTTACAACGGGTGAGTCTCCAGTTGTCACTGGTGATTGTCGTTTGAACCTTTCTGGATCCGCAATCAAATTGATAAGTTTAATTATATCAAGTGCTGTGAGAAAAGGCTATAAATCTCCACCTCCAACATCCTCACTCGCAATATAGCTTACTAAAAAAAAACAAGTATACTTATACTATTTTTATACTGCATGTTCAGATTTGCAAACAAAAAATACTCTGGGGGCCATGAAATTTGTGAAATGATCAAAAACACTGCCGGTTGCTGGAAACTTTTTTTTTTTTTAACGCTGGCGTTGAAAGAGTTAATAGGCCACTATCCTATACTCAATCAAAAGAGTACACTACAAACCAAGTATACTTTACTTAATTACACTTTTAAGTATATTTCAATCAAAAGATTGAGTACTAGGCCAAACAGGCTACTTCTTTTAGTATTTAGTTAAACTAGCCTACTTAAGTACAATTTTAATTCTGAGAAATACATAAAGTATATTATTGAAAAGAACATAAAAAGTAGACAAAGTATAGCCTACCTTCTTATTTTTAGTTTAAAAGAAATATATACTAGCACACTTGAATAAACTTCTTTTTCGTAAGGGATGCCATCTGTAGGCTAGGCTATTGATTACAGATTATTTGTGTATATTTATTATGAACGTACTTGGAATCCTGAAGCAAGTTTTATGACATTCCAAAAATGACAAGAAGTTGTTTGCGTTTCCTCCACAACCGCTATAGCTGAATTCTTCACACTGTTGGGTGATTGTATTGTAGTAATAGCGCTGGATGTCGTCATTGCACGTTCCTTCTTCAATTTGCAACAGACAAACTTCTGTGAGGGAATAAATAACGCGGTAAAATGTTATAAACCTCAAGCTCCAATTCACTTGCAACTTTTAAGTGTCAAGTTTCAACAACAGAATGCCTCTGTTTCGGTACTTTACAGCCATTAAAAGAGCACAATGATATATTTACCTTTGGGTTGTAGTCCGACGGCGTTTTGCAGAAGAACAACAAAAAGCAAAAGACCTCGAAGCAAATCCCACACCATTGTGAGAGATTATGGATTCTAGATAGCGTGTAGTCTGATGTAGCCTAGGCTGCTGATATGTTATTCGCCTGATATATTACTACTTGACTTCTCCCAATCGTTGCCTTATAAATGGAGAATTTTTCAGGGGGGAATTGGAAGGGCGGTCTATACTTAGTCATTTCCATGACAATTTCACAGTATCCATGTAGGCTACTCGAAATGCGTCTATTCCCGAAGTAGGATATGAATAATGACTTTCATGAGAATTATGCCAAAGCCAAATTTACTTCTAACTACAAATATTCTACTACAGTAGGCTATTAATAATAGTATAGTAAAACTATACAAAAATGTCTAATCCTTAATTAGCCTACTAATAAATCAAAATAATATTGGAATAATAACATTTATATTATTATTAATGATATAATAATGAAAACCCCTTTTTATTCATGTGTGACCAGGAAAAATATATAGGCTACGAAAATGTTTTAAAAGAATGCATTTTGTCATATCTTTGAAGATAATGAATTATCTAATGTGACAGGTTGGGTAAACATGGATTAGCAGCACGCTTATCACAGTAGCCTGTGATACTTTCTATGTCGCCTTGACCTATATTGCAATCCGAAGGTCATTAGAAACCCTTTTATATAAATTTCACTATTTGGGATGTAGCCTAATTCATTTATTAAGTAAATATGTATTTACTTTGCTGTGTATATGGTAATCCACAAGATCAGCTGACCACACATTTGGAGAATATGACTATGGAAAGATAAAATATAGTGTGCTTGTTTTAATAAGATTAAGAGATTACAATGTTTATGCAGATTACTTTATAAACCGGATTGAGGGAGAGGTGCAGAATCTCTGTCCATTTTCAGGGGTGGAGGAGACCTCATCATAAGCGGCAGTAAGTCTGGTCATCTGCAATTTTTTGTATAATTGGAAATCTCAATCATAAATACCCTACCACTTGTGATGTAATTGTCTGATTTGATTTCTCACAGACAATGCCGGTCATAAATGTAGAAGATCTGACGGACCTGGATAAGGCTAAAATGGAAGTAACCCAGCTCAAAACTGAGGTGAAGCTGGAAAGGGCGAAGGTAAGCGTTCAAATCTACTCATGGCCAGATTACAATGGACTACATCAAAGTTGAATGGCCTGGATGGCTTTCTAAAGCGTGTATTGTTGGTGTGCTCTTTTTTGTTTGATTGTCATTTCAATCACTTTTTTCTGTCAGACCTCCAAATGCTGTGAAGAGATTACGGAGTACATTCAGAGCGGAGCAGAGGAGGATCCTTTGGTCAAAGGCATTCCAGAGGAAAAGAACCCATTCAAGGAGAAAGGTGGATGTGTCATTTGCTAATGTGGACAGAGTTTTGCAGTTTAGTATTCAATGCAGCCCATGGACACCTGCTCAAATGTAATCATAGCTGGAATCCACTCTGCTCCCTGAAAAAGGACAATCACAAACATGGATAGATGTTCGAATAACTCTAAATGGCTCTTTCTCCCTTGCAAATGAGTCCTCAGGATCTGGACCCTCATATGTTGTGTATTCATCTTTGAAGTGATGTAATAAATCTGACTACCATTGTGCACTGATCACCAGAGACTTGCTTGATGGACTAATACATGTATTTCTTTCTTAGGCAGCCAGCCAAAGGGTAACATCTGTATAACAATACTGGGTGAAAGTGCATTTTTGAGCTTGTAATTAACATGATAAATCAAGGCTTAATCGGTGGAATAATTTAGCTATTCAATAAAACCAAAGTTACATGGCAAAAGGCCACTACAGTTTCTGACTGATTCTTTTTGTCACCAGAACATCACCAAGAGCCATTATGAGTTTGGTTTAAAGTGTATAGGGTTAGGGTTAGTATTATAAAGCAAACAGTATTTTACAGAAAATGTTACATCAAGTCTTTGCCATAATAAAGAAAGGCCACACTTGTTAATTACAAAATGTGGTAATCTGATAGTCAACTTTATGCATTCTACTAACTAGTGACTTTGCTACTATTCATTAGAGTTTTAGTAGACTGTCTGCTTAATATTTGCTAACACTTTATTTTGAGGCTCCCCAACAGAGATTCTGACTGTAAGTAGGCTACTATCTAACTACAGTACACGTCAACCCAAACCAAACAGTCTATAATACTCGAATGACAAATAGCCGCTTACTTGGAGTGAATTTAGGTTGATTGAGACACATTTTGCCATTGAAATTGCTGGTAAAAAAAAAAAAAGTATCCAAATCAACCTGAATGAACCCCTATATTTAGTAGAATGTGGACTATCAAAACAAAGTGTAAACTAAAATGTACTATGGTATTCATAGAGGTAGGCCTAACTAACAAAATACCATAATAACAAACAATGGTATAACAATTATGGATCTTCTACAAACACTGTTTCAAAATTACTCTTACATTTAGCTAATACCCATTTATCACAGATTTACTATATAACTATAACAATAGCCTAGTTAACAATAACTAGTTAGTTGGTAAAGTGCTGACAGCAGACCAGGCAGTAGCCTGAAAATATACTCTACATTCGACTTCTGCGTAAGGTTCAATGCGCATGCGCATGTCAACACTTTTGTGTAGTTTGTAAGAATGGCACTGCGTGCTAATGTCTTGAGATTCAGTTTAGCTCTCAATCGTAATTTACCCCAAACTGTTGTCTGCAACAATCGGCACTTCTCAGAACAATCGTCCTCCAATCCGAAAGCATCTGTTTCTACCGAAAATATCGATGTTCTCTACACAGAGGAACATTTTGCATTAAAGTCGTCTTTGAGAAAGGTAACGTTATATATGACACCGTGCTGTTTTATATCCATAACAAATGTATAATTCTCTGTAGAGATGAATGATGATTAGGTTTTTTGCTACCTGCATATCACACTCATGTTAATGTAACGTTAGAGGTCGAATCTTTTTCAGCAAGTGAATGTAGGGAAGAGGTCACTTACTTTGTAGCTAGCTTGGACAGCTAGTTGCATCTGTTTCGGGTTTTAGGGATTTGTTGTTAATTCAAGACATAATTTAAGGATTTTAGGAAGGGATTTGTTTGATATAAAGATTCATTTTGGAGATTAACAGATGAAATGTCAAGATTAGACGCTTTGTTTTGATGTTTCCATGATTGTCACGTGACGCTAGTTGATTATAAGTTACAGCCTGCTCAAGTTAAATATAAACTTAACTTCTATACCATATATATATATATATATATATATATATATATATATATATATATATATATAAAATATAATATATATATATATATATAAACAGATTATTTACATTGAATTTTATATAAGTAAAAAACATTGACTTATTCATTTGAATGTATAAGACAGCTCTCTCCTGTTCTGCAGTCATTTCCATCTCACCAACAAACAATCCCTTTTCTTTCCCCAAAAAGTTTTTCTCTTATTATATAGGAATTAGAATAAAGAAATATCTCTATCGGGGCACCTGAGTGACATTTTGAAGACCAATTCATTTTGAAGATCTGTGAGAAATGGGCTATTATGAGGACTTATTACAAAACGAGTCTCTTCTTGTACATTTTATTTCAGAAGTTTTCTTTTTAAATTCACTTTTAATGTACTTTTCTAATCTTTTCTTTAGCAAGTTCAAGGCTTTTTTCCAATAAATGGGAAAAAAAGTATTTTACATTAATCATTACCATCTCCAAGGCATGTGCTAAATATTTTAAGTTGAAACTGAATTTGAATGAATAAGATTTAATTGAGTGAAAGTCTCTGTAATTATTCTTTAATATCAACTGGCTAGACTGGAGGGTTACAGGGCTTGGCAAGGAAGTTGCTTTCTCAAATTCCCAGTGTCTTTAAGAGTATGGGAATAGACTGGTATGAGAAAGGATATAAACAGAAAAAGCAGCGGATAATGAGAACAATGCTGTATAGCATGAAGCTCAGGGATGGTGTTTATTAAAAGAAATCACCGGAGACAATGAAACACTAAAAACTAGTAAGAAAAGTCCTTGACTTAGAAGCATGTAATATTTATTTATAGCCCTATGCATTTAAATGGATTGGTGTATTAGATTTGTGTCAGATTCAATAGGGCTTAATATATATAGGGCTTAGTATTTTACTATAAAATGCATTCCTTCTCATAAGGTCATCTCATGACTCAAGATTACATTTTTCACAGTATCTTACTTAATGCGTAAGGCATGCCAGTTAGGCAATGTTCAGATTGAAATGATGTGAGTATGAGTTATTATTATTATTTTTTTTAAATCAAAATGTTTAATCCACCAATTAGGGTTAGCACTTCCAGGAAACCACCTATTGTGTTTTTCAGTTTAGTTCAATGGTCATCTGGGTGCATAAAGTGTTGACAAACCGTAAGCCAAAGTTTTGGACCCCACCAAACAATTCTCACCTCTTTAACCGACAAGAGGATTGTGGAATGTATCACCAACCTTTATTAAGAATAGGGGACCTTGTACTGTAGGTTCGGACAGGGTGGACCACCCTTCCTTTCTGACCGTATTATCCAGTCACAGTCCTCTGGGTTTTGAGTAAATCTAACTCTAAATAAGACACTTCCGTTATATGTTCTATGCCAGTTGTTCCCCGCAGACTCTTTCTCCTGAAGAAAGTCAGAAAAGTTCGTTCTGACATTGTTATCGTGTTGTTGACCCCTGGCTTCCTTTCGTTATTAAATGCTGTTTGTTCTGTTCACACCGCTTTTGAGGCAGGACGTTTTTGTTGGCCAGTGAAGCAGCATGTCTGCATGTTTTTGGGGAAATGGTGCTCATCCCTCTGCAGTATTTTCTTTAACTTTTCACAACTCATACTGAAAGCTCAGTCTGTTCCCATTAAATGTATAAGCATGACATATTAGCCGAAGAGGAGTCATTACCACCGCTAAAAAAGTTTATAGCCTTAATTGAATTGAAATTACTGGTTCATCATGCTTGAATCAGTTTTTATTTTATTGTACACATAATGCATAATTGGAAAATCAATTCAGTTCCTTTTCTGCTTCATTTGTGTAAAGATTTAATGAATTGCCTTGCTTTCCTTTGACTCCCCATTATGACTATTTTAACGAT